AACACATGATATCCTCATGGGACACAGGGATATATGGAAGTTGGAACACATAGGACACAGGGGACACATAGGACATAGGGACAGGGGCTGTACCACAAACAAAACATCTGTTCCCAAGCTGAAGATTACCAGGGAACTGAAGCTGCACCCTCTAGCACTGCACTACAGACCTCACGTACTACACAGGGACACAGGGGCACTACATAGACCCTCTCCCAGACATATGATATACACACCGTTCCAGGTAGTGCCTGTGTGAGGTGATGGGTCTGTAATTTAGGGGGCTTTTAACATGTCGAATTAGCCATGCGGTGGATTGCTAATAGGTGACTGGAGTATCTAGACTAGATACTAGATAGGAACTAATGAACTATAGATAGGAACTGTAATATATACTAATGTAGACTAGATACTAGATAGGGACTAATGAAGGAAAGTTTAAAATGGCTGGTATGTATAGAAGTTAGATCCCTTAGATATAGACTGGATATAGATTAGAGTTCCTACCTAAAGGTGAGATAGGAACTTATAAAATAGAAGAAGACGGCAATCTCCACGAACGAAAGTGTCAACAAGGTGACAGTGCCAATTCAACAATATAATATCACGGTGACGATAATGAAAGTAAAGGTGTGACTTAACATTACTTCAGAAAAGAATTTCGAGGTCTGGTGACAAACACAAGAAACTGTTTACAATTTTACAAATCAACCAGTCTCCATCCCATTGCTAGATAATTGTTGAAAATATCAAATACACGAAGAAAATGCCATTACATCACGACACGTTATACGTTGTGGAGAGAGCCGCAGATTTCTCATACGGCCAACTAAGTCTCAGCTGTTTTACAGGAGATCTTAAGTGGAAGTCAGAGGTCACTGTGTACTAGTCACTGGATAACTGGCCTGGTAATGTCCTGGTTTAATTTAATTAATTAATTATTATACCAGGACTGGTAATGTAGTGGGGTAGTAAGTAGATCAGTAGTAGCGGGGGCTCTGTTGTACGAATGAGAACAGCTCACCAGAGCGCAGGAGGATACAGTATGTACAGTGGCAGAGGGAGTAGGATGTACTGGAGCTGGAGGAGGGATTAATTAGACACAGGTTATTAAGCAGGTTGTGATGTTGGTAAGATTAAACTTGAATCATCGTGGGGGAGACATTCAGGAGCTCGGATTTGTAACCCACAAGAAACGAGAGATGGAGGGAAATGTTTGGGGTTACGATGACTAAACACAGTCCTACTGCTTTAAAATGTGCTATGCATATTATAAACCTCAGTTTGAAGACGGAAGTTGTTAACCTAAAATTTTCACGGAATTTTAATTGTTTACTTTATTTCTAGGGAAAGATGAGAGCAAGATCAATCCGTACATTTACCAAATATATCGTACGTTGCTATCGTAAGCAGTCATTATGTTTTAAAATATTCCCATGGGAGCAGGATGCGAAATAATATTTTATGACAGAAAACACTTCCGCAGGGGTCCAACCGTTGCATCTAAAAATTCATTTTGAATGAACGACGGATATCCGTTTTCCGGCGAACCAATTTATCTTCACAGGTTTACTTCTGAAATTTATAAAGGCTTCTGTAGAAAATAAATCTTCTAACTTAAAATTCAAATTTTAAATTTGAGCTTGTGTGATTTAATTTGGAGAGTCTAAATCATATTATCAGACGAATGATATCATGGCTTAAAAAAGAAACAAATTAAAACGAATGAAAAAGACATTTAATAACAACAAATTAGCAATAAAAATTAGCTCAGCGTAAACGTTTTTACCAATTCTTACAATTTGTATCACCGGGCTTAATGCTGCTAGAATATATTAATAGCTCTCTTATCACTTATAGTTATCAGTAGTTTGTTACGTACGACACCTCGCTGTGTATCTTTACTTTCAGAATCAAGAATTGTACAGCGAACAATGCGAAGAAGCTTGAGAAGAATATAACGTCATGGTTATGATTCATATTCTGAAAACTACCAAGTGATGACAACTTAGTCCTTGGTGTATTGATGAGGATTAATGCTGATTATCAATAGATACGTTATTGAATGATGTCGAGAATCTTTTGATAGTGAAGAAAATTCAGCGCGAGCGTTACTTTTCGAAAAGTAACGCTAAATTATTCAGATCCTCACTAAGCAACAGTACAAGGAGTACTCACTACTCAGACTCTATGCAGCTGTAATCTTACTGTATATAATTATAAATAGATACCATTATAATAAAGAATATAGATGGACAAAAGGTGACAAGCCCAATGAGATTAGTATCTTCCTAAAAATAAGATTGGTTTATCATTTGGCTCTTTAGACAACACTAATAAATTTATTTTTCCATTCTGGAACCTTTAGGAATATTTTGTTTTTAATTTAGTTTAGTTAATTTTATAAACTGTAATAATGTTTGTACCAGGAAAAGGATGGATTGAGTAACACCGGGGTAACACCACGACATTATTTAACTTTAACGCTACTTTCCGTGAAAACCGCAAAAGACATACGATTGAAATTTGTTTGGCTGGTTCGGATGCTTCTATGGCCTTTAAAACAGTATAAAGGAATAAGAGTTTTTTAAACAACCCCTATCATAACAAATCCAACATTTCAACGTCACTGCTTCTTACCCAAAAGCTAACTCATAGCAACAGAAGTGTAATAAAAAAGGAGCTTTCAGCTCTCTCTCAATCAGCATACCTGCCATACCGGTTAAGGGATAATGCTAGTGGTCAATAACTACATTATCTACCCTGGTTCCATGTTCAGACAACTGATTTTGTGGCGGCTTGTTGGTTCCAATTTTATTTCTAACTTCTTTCCCCTTTCTTAAGTCATGTAATTTTCTTTAATCGATTTTTACACAAATAAAGCTACTAAGAATGTAGACTTGAATGCAATTTTACAACTCTCAACCTGTACGTTATATAATGAAAATAGTGTTATACACTTAGCTTACAATTGCAAACTGGAATCATTACTTTCTCAACATTATTGAGAGCATACTTATTCCTAAATCATTATTTTCAGGAGCATTAAACTCCATGATAAATATTTAACATTTCAAGGTCTCCAAACGGTTTGCTTACACACAGCGGGGTAGCGTGCACACACGGTTCATACCTTATTCATATAAGCTGTTGAACCTTCCTCGTCAATCCCAGGTGGCAGCCCGTTAGCTGTGCTGTACCTCTAAATAATATTTCACGTGAAGATGTGCTGTACCTCTAAATAATATTTCACGTGAAGATGTCTTTCCAACGGGGAAACATTTCACTTTAAGACATCTTTACAACGGGAAACATTTCGCTTTTAACAGCTTGCCGCATAAGCAATTTCACTTTGATGCTATACCAAATACAGTTGAATGGTGTTTTCCGAGAAGTAAAACTATTCTATACACAAGATCACCAAAAGAAGGTCAGAATATCTAAAATAATAGCTTGGACGTCTGAAATAGCTAGAATATCTAAAATAGCTGGAATCTTAGAACCGGAACAAAGAACCAAGTAGACATTAAAACCTGCTGCAATTTACCACTATAACTCCGACATAATATGATCATTATAATCAACGAGCGGCAAATAGAAGTTAGCAGATATTAAATGATCCATATCTATCATCATCTCAGGGCGTATCATGATTACACTGTACGCCTCAGAGCCATTACTATTAGTTGAGGTAGATGAAATGGTTCTCAGTACAGATAAATGTATAAAGTAGATAAACGTGGTAAAAGCAGGATGTGGTACGAGCTTTACTACCGCTAGTACAAATAACGGGTAACCACACAAACAAGGAGAACTGTAAAGAGAACTCTCTAGCATGATGTAATACCACAGAGGAGAGGGAGAATTAATTAGAATTCAGGGTGGAGAAAGTGTTTGTGATGTTCGGGAGTTAAAAGTTTTTTAAACTCTTTTTCTCACGACGAGGGAAAAACTGGAGGAAAATGGCATCAAATAGATTCAAAAAGGACACTTTCCTTGTGGGATAATTTGATAAGCGTTGCTCTTTCGCAATTACCACCCACAATCACCCAACCCTGTCCCCAGTTTTAACCACCTCAAACATTCAAAACTAACCCCACCCTAACTTGGTAGTTATCTTCACGATCAGTTAAAAAACTTTAGATATTCGACTATGAATAGAGCTGACGATATCAAACAATACAAGAGGAAACAAACATTAGACTTGGTAGAGCTTAAGTTTAAAATGGACTTATATCCACCAGCGTGCGCTTTTTCGCATAGCGGGCTCTCACCAGCCCGCTGTCAAAGGACCCGATATCTCTACAGCCCGCTCATGATATAGCCCGCTAACAAGTGACATTTAATTTGACCAGTAGCAATATAGCCCGGAGTTCTCTAAAATATTTTCAGTTTCTGTATCGTCTCCATGTGAAATTCCTTAATACACTGACTATAATATATACATTTTATTTTTGTGTCCGGTAGGGCTGCTCATGCAGCTCGTGAGCAGATGACATGATACTTTGATTTATATCAAAGTTATTATAACACACTACATAATACACATCAGCACTATAATCCCCCTATATTATTGATATTCATCGTCACTGACATTACATTCATTATTCCCACGGCCCAGGAATGCAGTGCATCTCCAGCCCCTATATACGACACAGCCCTTTATGATTGGCTTACATTGAACACGTGACGTGTTACCATGGTTACAACAATTAGTGGCGACCTTTTCTAGAGTTGACTTTTATACAAGCTCCATTGTTTATTTATAAAATTATATATTAACTGTAATACGCCCGCTGGTGGATATAATCCACATCACCTCGACCCGCGGGCGGAAAAATCGTATAGCACTCGGGCCCGATGGGCCCTCCGTGCTATACGAAAATATGTCCTCCTCGGGCTAGCGCCCTCGGGGACATATGAAATATTGCACGCGCGTGCGCGTGCAATATTTTGTTCCGCCCGCGAGTCTCCGGTGATATGTATATATATCGACTCACCCTTCTTAACCGGAACTGATCTTTTTTCGCATCTTTGATGGACAGGTTTAACGTTCCCGCCAAAGCGAACTTGTTCTCTTGGGAAGCACTCTTCTTAGCGCCACCGCGCGAGCTGGTTGAGCCTCCACGAGGTGTCGTGCTCCCTGGGTGAGGGGAGTTAGAGGGGTGGTTACTAGTCAGAATGGGAGTTAGAGAGGTGGTTACTAGTCAGAAGGGGAGTTAGAGGGGCGGTTACTAGTCAGAAAGGGAGTTAGAGGGGTGGTTACTAGTCAGAAAGGGAGTTAGAGGGGTGGTTACTAGTCAGAAGGGGAGTTAGAGGGGTTGTTACTAGTCAGAAAGGGAGTTAGAGGGGTGGTTACTAGTCAGAAGGGGAGTTAGAGGGGTGGTTACTAGTCAGAAGGGGAGTTAGAGGGGTGGTTACTAGTCAGAAAGGGAGTTAGAGGGGTGGTTACTAGTCAGAAAGGGAGTTAGAGGGGTGGTTACTAGTCAGAAGGGGAGTTAGAGGGGTGGTTACTAGTCAGAAGGGGAGTTAGAGGGGTGGTTACTAGTCAGAAGGGGAGTTACAGGGGTGGTTACTAGTCAGAAGGGGAGTTAGAGGGGTGGTTACTAGTCAGAAGGGGAGTTAGAAGGGTGGTTACTAGTCAGAAGGGGAGTTAGAGGGGTGGTTACTAGTCAGAAGGGGAGTGAGAGGGGTGGTTACTAGTCAGAAGGGGAGTTAGAGGGTTGGTTACTAGTCAGAAGGGGAGTTAGAGGGGTGGTTACTAGTCAGAAGGGGAGTTAGAGGGGTGGTTACTAGTCAGAAGGGGAGTTAGAGGGGTGGTTACTAGTCAGAAGGGGAGTTAGAGGGGTGGTTACTAGTCAGAAGAGGCGTTAGAGGGGTGGTTACTAGTCAGAAAGGGAGTTAGAGGGGTGGTTACTAGTCAGAAGAGGCGTTAGAGGGGTGGTTACTAGTCAGAAGGGGAGTTAGAGAGGTGGTTACTAGTCAGAAGGGGAGTTAGAGGGGTGGTTACTAGTCAGAAGGGGAGTTAGAGGGGTGGTTACTAGTCAGAAGAGGCGTTAGAGGGGTGGTTACTAGTCAGAAAGGGAGTCAGAGGGGTGGTTACTAGTCAGAAGGGGAGTTAGAGAGGTGGTTACTAGTCAGAAGGGGAGTTAGAGGGGTGGTTACTAGTCAGAAGGGGAGTTAGAGGGGTGGTTACTAGTCAGAAGGGGAGTTAGAGGGGTGGTTATTAGTCAGAAGGGGAGTTAGAGGGGTGGTTGCTAGTCAAAAGGGGAGTTAGAGGGGTGGTTACTAGTCAGAAGGGGAGTTAGAGGGGTGGTTACTAGTCAGAAGGGGAGTTAGAGGGGTGGTTACTAGTCAGAAGGGGAGTTAGAGGGGTGGTTACTAGTCAGAAGGGGAGTTAGAGGGGTGGTTACTAGTCAGAAGGGGAGTTAGAGGGGTGGTTACTAGTCACAAGGGGAGTTAGAGGGGTGGTTACTAATCAGAAAGGGAGTTAGAGGGGTGGTTACTAGTCAGAAGGGGAGTTAGAGGGGTGGTTACTAGTCAGAAAGGGAGTTAGAGGGGTGGTTACTAGTCAGAAGGGGAGTTAGAGGGGTGGTTACTAGTCAGAAGGGGAGTTAGAGGGGTGGTTACTAGTCAGAAGGGGAGTTAGAGGGGTGGTTATTAGTCAGAAGGGGAGTTAGAGGGGTGGTTGCTAGTCAAAAGGGGAGTTAGAGGGGTGGTTACTAGTCAGAAGGGGAGTTAGAGGGGTGGTTACTAGTCAGAAGGGGAGTTAGAGGGGTGGTTACTAGTCAGAAGGGGAGTTAGAGGGGTGGTTACTAGTCAGAAGGGGAGTTAGAGGGGTGGTTACTAGTCAGAAGGGGAGTTAGAGGGGTGGTTACTAGTCACAAGGGGAGTTAGAGGGGTGGTTACTAATCAGAAAGGGAGTTAGAGGGGTGGTTACTAGTCAGAAGGGGAGTTAGAGGGGTGGTTACTAGTCAGAAAGGGAGTTAGAGGGGTGGTTACTAGTCAGAAGGGGAGTTAGAGGGGTGGTTACTAGGTACAATAAGGGGCGTTAAATGAAAGGAAGGAGATAAGGAAGAAATGAAGGAGTATTTACCTGATTTGCTATACGATTCCATGGATGAGGCTAACGGATTAGCAGTCTTTTTCTGAAAAAGATAAAACATTTAATTATGACATTGTGCGTTTAAATATAAATTAAATATAAATTGAGATCAAAAATGAATATTAAAGATACGGTAGTTTGGTCTTTAGATTAAGGTGGCAGGCCATCGACGTCTCATAACAGAAACATTTTCTTTTTTCTAACCTTAACCGTAATTGGAAAATTTCGGTTCATTTCATCTACTTTCACTTGAATGAGGATTTAATCAGTTGGTCATGACTTTGATAAGGCACTCGGACTAATAAATATGGAGCCAATAAAATTCACCAAAGGAACTCTTCATTTAGGTCAAAGGCCCAAATAAAAGTCCGAAATCCTGAGATGAACCGCCATTCACTAATTTGAACAAAATTTTCGAATACAGTATTGGTCAAGTAGCCGCGAAAAAGAATCTAGGCATATCAATTATATATTATATATATTATACGCTTGTACGGCGGTTGCAAAAACTTGAAAGGCTGCGTATAAAACTATAAATAGTTCTAAAAGTGATCGTAAATTCTTTTTCAGACGACCACTGAAGACAGGCCCGAGGGTAGGGTTGTTCCATTTATATGCAAATTTATAAATTTCAGCCTAACTTCTCGGATCGGATGGCAAAAATGCCATTATGACTAAAGCTCAGTTTCTGTTTTCATTAAATACACGTATATATAAAAAGAAATTCCATAAAAATAATAATTCCCATTTTTATAGTAGTTACGAAAGGACACATTGAAGCCATTTAAATTGGTATCATTTCTGAGATATTATATCCAAAATGTGTGCGATTCAATCGGATATTTGATGAACTTTGAACTCACAGATAAGTTATGACAGCTGTTATGATAAGCCTGATAATGAATGTGGGAATGAGAGACTGACAATTTAATACGATAAAACACGATAACGGCAGTGGATAACAGTTGACAGCAGAGAGAAGTAAAGAAGGCACTTTCTAGGTCAAGTTCATTGCAGGGAAATTATACACAGCTAAATTCGATTAAATGATACAGATGGACAAAACCTGACAAGCTCAATGAGAGTAGTATCTTCCAAAAAAATAAGATTGGTTTACCATTTGGTTCTTTAGATCCGTCAACTGTCAACATGTTTAACCTAACTGTAGTCTGTACATTTTTTCACAAATAGAAGGAACGGTTTGAAATTTAGGATACAGATTACAGGCTTCATATTGTCTTCAGATTAATTAACACGTGGTTTCTCCTTTTAACGACTTAACGTTTTAGCTTTTAAACAAAAGTAGTAGCTGTGTGGTGTTTTAATTAGTTTAAATATGACCTAATCTGTTTTCAGACTACATTTTCTAATTTTACACAGTTATTCAAAGCACAGTTTCTAATTTTACATTGCAGAGTAACAGAGTCCTGTCCAGTGCCAGCCAGGTAAATCCACAAGTCCACTGCAATTGTGGTGAATACAAAGCTTAAAATTAGACTGAACGCTTGATGCCTGAAAACGAGCCTGATATCAAGGTTGTTAGTGTACTAAATGTTAACTAAATTACGTTAAGTAAATTTTACGAGAAACAACTTTCGAAAAATTAGCGAAAACATTATCTAATCTGAATTTAATCTGAAGAAATTATTTAAACTGAATGTTGGCATACGTGGACGTGGCGGCGTTCGCATTTCTGAGAACCACGCATGATTTTAACCAAGCTATTAATCCAAAGAATATGTATTATGCATACTAGGATTGTCGTCAGGTTTTAAGATTTTAGACTTCGGCACAGAATTTCTAGAATTCTTTCTTCATTAAATTTAAAGCACTAGGCATTTTAATACCTGAATGTTTTGAATATTATAACAACATGATTGAAATTTTGTAGCTAACAGTAAAACTATGTGTATCATAATATTGCAATAATAAGACAGAAAAATAGAAACTGCTTTCAGAAAACTTTACACAGAAAGAATTTAGGTACAGTAGTGCGACACACATGGCCATGAAATATGGGATTAAATTCCACGGAACCGTTGATATTAAAAGTTGATAAGAGTCCGGATTCACATTTAATTTTTAAAGCTTCAGTCTGTGTCTAGTAGTAGTTTTACATTCATCATACGACATAATTCTACTTATATACTATGTGAAGACAATATTGCGTATTAAGTATTTGAATATTTACCGTCCTTGATAGACGTAACTAAATTTCCGGTATTGTTCCTCTGTCGCTTGAGGCAGACACTTTCATCCTAATTTTAAGAACAAGTCAGCAAGAAAGAAAGCATAAACTACCACGATACGGCAATACTTCGAACATAAGGTTCATTATTCTCAGATTTCCATTTATATCTTGCATCCACAGTGGGTATTAATATAGTCACTGGTCTGTAATGAAGCTCTTTATAGCTTTATTTACAGATGCCTTTACAAAGTCGTCATTATAATCAATTATAAGGCGCCTTTAATATAGTCACTGGTCTGTAATGAAGCTATAAAGGCATCTCAGGATCGTAAGCAGGCATTCTTTAAGGTAGTACTAGTACTATCTAATGGACTTATCACATTAAATTAATAATGTAATCGAAATAGAGTTTAAGTCCTGGAGCCGATAGAGATGTTATTTTAGTATCAACCTAATGATCCTGTAATACATTATTTATTATTATTTATTATTTATTATTATTAATTATTTGATAATTTCAGTCATTACAATACCCACTAGTGCGACTATGGAAGCTAAATCTATAAATATTATGTACCAAAGTTGACACACTCCTTGGTGAACTCGAGGAACAGAGACTTTAACATTCTTCTAATCAAATCATTTAGTGGTTTTACATAACTCCAGAGCTAGCACGAAAATGGTCCTACTCTTTACAGTTTACATCGAACGTATTTCTAAGTTGGTTTATCCAGTTTTTGCTGCCACCACATATAAAAGCCAGTTACTCAGCAGACACTGCCCAGTGCCCATACTGTACCAAGACACCCTCATAATCTCCGTCAATATCAGTTATTTCTATGTCTAGTACTGACATGAACACAGCATCAGTTCCACGCCGTGGTACTCCTAAAATATAAGGTCAAATCTCCGGAATACTTGCCATTCTATAAATTTCATTAGAATTTACGTACAATGAACACGAGACCGCAGACCTACTTCATACTTAAAAACTCCAACCGAGCACTAAGTACCGACTTAATCAAATTTATAGCAAATTTGTCGGGTAATTCCACCGGGCCTCTAATCGACTGATTATCGCTACTTAACCCTTTATCCTAACAATCGGGAATTGTTCAAGCTGTGCTGTGTAATGTGTTATCAAGGTTGAAATACCATAAATTCGTAGGGAAATTCTTAAGGAAAATGCTGTCTGTATAGCATTGTTAAGGTGCCTGGTTTTAAGATGAACAATGGTAATTCAATATGGATGATCCCAAAACTTTTTGTAGCTTTAGATCTTGTGACATGAACTTTCATTCGATTTTCAGTGGTAAACAAGGCATGAAGATGGGAATGTTCCAAATATTTCAAATTTTTCGATATTGATAAGATCTGGAATGAAGGATAACAGTTCATTAGTTTAGATCAGGTGAAATCGAGGTGTTCATTTGTCACATACACAATAAAATATCAAACTCTCAAAATCGGGTGAAATTTAACGTTTTGCGCCAAAATAATTGAAATTAGTTTAGTATAAAAATAACTTTGGTTCGCCGCCAGCTCAATACCCAAGACGGAATCTCAGGAAGTTGTTACTACTCAGATCATTGAGCGACAGTGCAAATTTACTCCGCCTTTTTACAAAGCAACAAAAGCACAATTGTCAAAGCAACCGTGCATCACACCCCATTAGTGGCGGCAAGTACCGGCTTCTTCATAATTAAAGTCATTTACTAAGTAGCTCCGAAGAAAAGCTTACAATGAGACCAGAATCAAGCGTGCCGTTAGCATACGTGTCCTAGTATTCGTTTAACTCATTTACATTTTTAAAATATTTGAGTTATATGGTACAACAATGAGAGTGGAAGTTGAAGCTGAACTCAACACTTCACACTGCACAGTTGTTCACAAAAGCTTGTAACGTTTACCCACCTGAGCTCCAATCTTGTTGATAGCATTCTGGAACAGCTTCTTCGGAGTGTTGGATACCTTACTAGTCTTCCTCGCGGGGGTTGCATTGTTCATCATATTATAGGACATACAATAAACCTCGAGTGTGATCTTGTAGTCGGGCGGTAAGTTGTCACTGTAAAAGAAACACAACAATCATATAAAGTAATAGATTACAAATACACTGTGGGAGATGAGCACAAGCTAGGACTGTAATTTGTACACTGATTTACATGGGTTTGAGGGGATCTACCGGGTTATGACGTCACGATGCTGGAGATGATCTTGAGAAACTAAGTGATCATTACATAATGCAGGGAGCTGGCGCGTTTAAATGCCTGGATTTTCAGGGGATTTGTGGATCTTGCTAATTTTAGCGCTGCACACAGCAGTTAAATTAGGTTAGGTCATGTGGAGTTGGGTGTAACCATGTGCAAACAAGTGACCGGGTATTGGGTATAAACAAGATCATTATTCAGTGAATTAATCATTTAATCTATCATAGAATGATAATTACATCACTGTTATGTCAGAATTAATTAACTGATTAGCAGATAATTGAAGGTTGGAGCGCCAACCCTTGCACCCGAGAACCCAGGGGTAAGTACGGAGTCTATCTGGGACGAGACAGCAGCCCGGTGATGGGGCTACACCCTGGTATTGTGGGACGAGACAGCAGCCCGGGGATGGGGCTACACCCTGGTTTTGTGGGACGAGACAGCAGCCCGGGGATGGGGCTACACCCTGGTCTTGTGGGACGAGACAGCAGCCCGGGGATGGGGCTACACCCTGGTCTTATGGGACGAGACAGCAGCCCGGGGATGGGGCTACACCCTGGTCTTGTGGGACGAGACAGCAGCCCGGGGATGGGGCTACACCCTGGTCTTATGGGACGAGACAGCAGCCCGGGGATGGGGCTACACCCTGGTTTTGTGGGACGAGACAGCAGCCCGGGGATGGGGCTACACCCTGGTTTCGGTGAGTGGCTCGGTGCCGATAAATTAACTCCTTACATTAACTGGTCGGATGATTAATTCTAAATTTAACAGCGACTAATTAACAAATAATTAGCGGCATATTAGCTTACATAACGATAGTATCAGAGATTGAGAGGTTGGTCCCGTGAATATTACACTCAGAAGTAGCAATATTGGTGGTCAGGATCCGGTAAGGGGATACTTTTACCACAACGAAGAAAGCTTGGTTTTTCTTTGTTTCCACGACTTTGTTAACCAAGTAATCCTGTCTCAGGAGCATCGATATTCCTGTAAATTTGAAAATTAGATAATCTAAGGTAGGTGTAGATGGTTAGTTTCTAAAAGTGGGGTTTCTGGGAATTTAGAGTCTCTTGTAAAGTTGTGAAGTGAGATTAAAATTAAGATCATTAGAATGGCCTTATTTTTCCAGGATTTTCGAAATTATTCAAGTTGTAATTTACACTTGGGGATAATAAAAGCTGTAGTTTGAAAAACCTAGACTAATGAAGTGATGATAACGATTAGTCAAATCAAATCTACGATTAACATCGAGGCCACATTAGATGAGTTTGGGGAGTCTGACAAAATTGGGGATTTTGGAATGTTGGGCGGGGATTATTACGACTTTTAATCAGACTACCCCATAGTCTGATTAAAAGTTGTAATATGTGGGAATTCGCAAGCTTGTTAGGGAAAATAAGAGTGTCATTTGTTGTGAGGTACAAAGCTCCACTCTCCAAATATGAACAAAAGGTGGGCAGTTGTTTCCAGTGATTATCATTATAACAACAGAGTACTTTACCTCTGAACCCATAATAACGGTAATTCACGGTCATTAAGTTGAAACTACCGGAATAACCATGACAGTAACTTGTTTATTTAAGTTGAAATGAGAATAGAACTAGAGTACCTACATTTAAGGGTCAAGAAAGACGTGTGTCGTGTAAATTATAACGTTACCACACACACACAAATACGAACCACTGCAAGAATATACGGTGCTAGCCGATGCTATAATACATCTCTCCCTCATGAAATACTAATCATTATTCTCAAGAACTTTAAAGAAACTTTAGTGGGACCTATTCATCGTGCTCGTTGTAGTAGTAATGAAAAGTGTAGTAAAAAAGGTCACCTACCTACCTACCTACAGCTACCTACCTACCTACCTACACTAAATTACACTTTATCTAGTGAAATACTAGTCATTATTCTCAAGAACTTTAAAGACACTTTAGTGGGACCAATTCATTCTGTTCGTTGTAGTAGTAATGAAAAGTGTAGTAAAAAAGGTACACTTAATTACACTTTATCTAGTGAAATACTAGTCATTATTCCCAAGAACTTTAAAGAAACTTTAGTGGGACCAATTCATTCTGTTCGTTGTAGTAGTAATGAAAAGTGTAGTAAAAAAGGTACACTTAATTACACTTTATCTAGTGAAATACTAGTCATTATTCCCAAGAACTTTAAAGAAACTTTAGTGGGACCAATTCATTCTGTTCGTTGTAGTAGTAATGAAAAGTGTAGTAAAAAAGGGTACACTAAATTACACTTTATCTAGTGAAATACTAGTCATTATTCCCAAGAACTTTAAAGAAACTTTAGTGGGACCAATTCATCGTGTTAATTATTAACTGCTGGGAGATTCCTGGCTTCTATAAATTCCTTCTGTGTTCCTTTTTAACATCCCTAACATACCGCAATAATACGATGCCTGTAAATTGTACAAATAAGAGTGATGACTCAGCGTTCCGAGTAGGCCTAGGTAGAGATCAATCTTAATAACCAGGCAGACACTATGATATCTTATCTCAGAGATGGTGTTATCGGCAAGGTGATTAACATACTGTTTATCGTCAGACACTGTGTAAGTGTGTATATATACATATCACCGGAGACTCGCGGGCGGAACAAAATATTGCACGCGCACGCGCGTGCAATATTTCATATGTCCCCGAGGGCGCTAGCCCGAGGAGGACATATTTTCGTATAGCACGGAGGGCCCATCGGGCCCGAGTGCTATACGATTTTTCCGCCCGCGGGTCGAGGTGATGTGGATTATATCCACCAGCGGGCGTATTACAGTTAATATATAATTTTATAAATAAACAATGGAGCTTGTATAAAAGTCAACTCTAGAAAAGGTCGCCACTAATTGTTGTAACCATGGTAACACGTCACGTGTTCAATGTAAGCCAATCATAAAGGGCTGTGTCGTATATAGAGGCTGGAGATGCACTGCATTCCTGGGCCGTGGGAATAATGAATGTAATGTCAGTGACGATGAATATCAATAATATAGGGGGATTATAGTGCTGATGTGTATTATGTAGTGTGTTATAATAACTTTGATATAAATCAAAATATCATGTCATCTGCTCACGAGCTGCATGAGCAGCCCTACCGGACACAAAAATAAAATGTATATAATATAGTCAGTGTAATAAGGAATTTCACATGGAGACGATACAGAAACTGAAAATATTTTAGAGAACTCCGGGCTATATTGCTACTGGTCAAATTAAATGTCACTTGTTAGCGGGCTATATCATGAGCGGGCTGTAGAGATATCGGGCCCTTTGACAGCGGGCTGGTGAGAGCCCGCTATGCGAAAAAGCGCACGCTGGTGGATATATATACATATCACCGGAGACTCGCGGGCGGAACAAAATATTGCACGCGCACGCGCGTGCAATATTTCATATGTCCCCGAGGGCGCTAGCCCGAGGAGGACATATTTTCGTATAGCACGGAGGGCCCATCGGGCCCGAGTGCTATACGATTTTTCCGCCCGCGGGTCGAGGTGATGTGGATTATATCCACCAGCGGGCGTATTACAGTTAATATATAATTTTATAAATAAACAATGGAGCTTGTATAAAAGTCAACTCTAGAAAAGGTCGCCACTAATTGTTGTAACCATGGTAACACGTCACGTGTTCAATGTAAGCCAATCATAAAGGGCTGTGTCGTATATAGAGGCTGGAGATGCACTGCATTCCTGGGCCGTGGGAATAATGAATGTAATGTCAGTGACGATGAATATCAATAATATAGGGGGATTATAGTGCTGATGTGTATTATGTAGTGTGTTATAATAACTTTGATATAAATCAAAATATCATGTCATCTGCTCACGAGCTGCATGAGCAGCCCTACCGGACACAAAAATAAAATGTATATAATATAGTCAGTGTAATAAGGAATTTCACATGGAGACGATACAGAAACTGAAAATATTTTAGAGAACTCCGGGCTATATTGCTACTGGTCAAATTAAATGTCACTTGTTAGCGGGCTATATCATGAGCGGGCTGTAGAGATATCGGGCCCTTTGACAGCGGGCTGGTGAGAGCCCGCTATGCGAAAAAGCGCACGCTGGTGGATATATCACTATGCAGGTTATAAATATCTCCGGGATTTCGACGCGGGATCATATTATCACTCAGCCCGGCCCGCTGTTAGATAAACATCTCAAGGTGATATCATCCCGCCCCGGAAATTTGTATAAACCCGGCCCGCTTTTTAGTCGTAACTGATGTTTATCATTCAATTCTCCGACTTACAATAATCAATGATACTGCTGATTAGAACTCGATAATAGTAGAACAGTTAGACGCGCGATCACGTGGGCGCGTCACGTGCGTACCACGTGCCACCAATAGCATACGCCGAGTCTATACCACGTGACACGAAAGCGCACCACGTGATATGAAACATCGTAACCGTCCACTTCATTTACACGCAAATTCCTGGGAACGTTGTCAAAGCAGCTAATTCTTGGAATTTCTCCAACGCGTGGCGTGAGAAGTTGGCGACTAGCCAGCTACCCTTGTCCGTGCCCTAAAAATAGTATTGTTTTGCTTGCTCTCCTTCCAGCTCTTGTTCCTGCTAACGTTCAAGCTATTGCTCCACTATGACAGATCGGTTTATCACTCTCTTCTAAAGTATAAATCCCTTGTCGAAATCGCCGGAGATGATTATAATCCATAAACACTTCACGCTCAGGGCTAAATAAATGTAATCCCTCAGCTGGCGCTTCGGGATTACATATTAACACAAAACTCGTGCGCTGCGCGCACTCGTATGTGTTTATCAGATCATCCCGCTAGCGCGGGATGATCTGTTATATAAACCCTTTGCGTGGCGGGTTTATGTTATTATAACGCTATGTTATCCACACAACAATGTACACCTTATATCGACATATGCACATTACACAGACGGTCGGCACATGCCCTTAGTACGTAGTCTAAGAGCATGTGCCGACCTCGGTCAGGAATTCCATGATCCACAACCATTTGCGTCATTAGTGGAGGTGCTCAGTTAAAGGTACTGTTAATGATGATTATTATTAACCATAATAATAATATTTTGGTAACATCTTCGTAACAGTACGCATTATTAAAGTTTACGATCACATTTAAGGGAAAAACCTGAGTGACCATATTTGCGAGGTCTGTATGGATTGTGAACAGGCCACAATTTCCTAACTCAACATCATGACATCATTTTAACGAAAGATTTTGATAATATTACCAAATCTTGATAAACTGAACCTTGTATTTAGGTGTATTCCAACTGAAGTTCTACCATGTAGTTATACTAGTTCTGTGCTAGTATGAATTAAATACCATTTCTAGTCCAGCCATACAAAAGAACTCCATGTCAGGGAATCGAACCCTGGTCACCCGCGTGACAGGCGGGTATACTCACCACTATACTAACACGGAGATGACTCATGTGTGCATTTGCTGTCTAGAAAATCGATCATGTAGCCAGATGTTTTACTGAGGGAACGCGCAGAAGTGATTTGAACAAAAACTTTGGGTTTGCTTCTACTCCTAAATTTTCAGTCACAACCGAGGCAGTGTGGGCTTTGATTAGCTAACCGCTCAAATAAAAGAACGAACCCGACAAAAAGGAACTCCATGTCAGGGAATCGAACCCTGGTCACCCGCGTGACAGGCGGGTATACTCACCACTATACTAACACGGAGATGTCTGATTGGAAAATTTACTGTCCATAATTGGATCGCGAAGCCTGCACTCCATGAGGTGGGACGCGCGGAAATATGCTAAATTACGAGTGTCCATTCACGCAATCAACATCTCCGTGTTAGTATAGTGGTGAGTATACCCGCCTGTCACGCGGGTGACCAGGGTTCGATTCCCTGACATGGAGTTCTTTTGCTAAAACAAGGCAAGTGGTCAATGATGGTTCACTCAGAAGTTACCTTCATTTTCCAGCGAAAGTACAGGAATAAGTTTTATGTTAAGGGCCAAAGAACGCTAATTTAATGAAACAACCTTAATATTGATTTTCGATTGTCTGAAAAACAGATCAACCTAGATTACTATCATGTCACATGTGTCAAGACAACCTTAATTAAGTGAAACTTTACGTTTCAATCACTTACCTTTGATTTCTAGGTATCCTTTAGGCACCTCTTCACTAGAGAAGATATGCTTTTCGTCCTTCACTTCCGCCAAATGGTAGTTCCACAAGTTCTTTTTTAATCCTGCAATTGTTTACATAAAGGATACGAAGATACTAATCCCTCAATACCCTGGCTAGGTTTGCTTTTGCATGTCAGCAAACAGGTAAGAGTATACTGTTTAGATGTGCCAAGAGTGTGCAAGTTATAATCTCTCTTCAACAAAAAATGTGGTCCCTAGGCCTTAGCTTGAAGCTGGTATTCCAGCACATTTGATTCTCTAGTTTTACTGATTTATGATTGATCACTGCTATACAGATGACATACGTTCCTAGCTACGTCTACCATCGTGTAATTCTCCGCCGGAATCCCACTAAATGTTTAATGTTAAATTATCTAACTAGGATTGCATGACAGCTACTTGTTGTATGATTTCCGATATTGACTTTAATTTAGCCAATCAGCTAAATACCTACAATCATCACTTGTATCATAGGAAACCGTACAAATTTTACCAGGTGTCGAGATATAATTCTATGGAACTTGACTAGCTTAGGGTGATCACTGATCAGCGGCGTGCGCGCGGCTCGATCGTCGAAATCTGCCACAGTAAGTGCTGACAACAAGTCAAACGCGACGCGCACTAAGCCCCAAAGTTGCCGCTAATTTTGAAATTTTCGAAAATCTTGCGGGCAGACTGATGATGAGATGATTGAAGATAATGTCATCAAATATTTGTCATTTTTCATCATATGACATCTCTAATTAGGGGCTACACGAGAAGATATCCGACCAACATTCAAACTTACTCTCAGGACATCAATTCAAACCCGGGAAATTTAAATGTCATAATCAGCGGCGCGCTGTCTATTTTTATATCTTGGCTCCTGACGTTCAATTACCTATTTGCTGGATATTTGTGACAGTGGCAATCCAGTGGGACAATGAATGTTTCTACTTATGTTTCTGCTTATATCCGTGTTGGGTAATTGGGGACATCTAATATTGATGTTGTTTCCTTAAGCTTACTCTCGACATATACAAATACTGTGACTCGTATAAGAGTGGAGAACCACAAACTGAGATTTGAACAAATATGTTCAGAAGAGGACGTGTAGTTGAGTACGTCACAAAAAACGGAATTTTCAATTTTGGACGGTGAACTTGGGATAAGAAAAGACAGTAAAATAGCCTATTAGCTTAACTTACCACATCCACTCTACAACTAAACTATTCTCATACAATCTGTCGGAATTACATGACGTGTCATATGATAATATCAGAGCTGTCAATTCGTGAACACAATCTAGGACCACAAAATATATACAACTTACCAGCAACCAAGAGGAGTTTCTCTGCCTCCACCTGCTCTAGTCCGTACTGACAATGTTCAAGAAGTTGGGCAGCTTGAGTTTCCAGTTCTTTCTGTACCATTATCCCTTGCTCCAGTACCTGAAAACAGAGTTTCTTTAGTGACTTAAAGGAGTGACTTAATTAGTGACTTTAGTGACTGGGCAGCGAACTTTGAAATGATTTATTCATGTGAGGATCAGGGGATTTATGAAAATGGGGATCTAGGATTTGGGTTATTCTTGCATAAACCCAAAATACCCGTTTCTTCTTATCTCATGTAGGAAGGAAGCTGGGGATTTATGGGTTTTAATGGGCATTTTGGGATGAATATGTGACATACATTGCATTGGAAGAGGAACAATTTGATAACAATTCAACAACACCTGTAGTTACTAAACTTACTTTCGCAATACCATACGGTGTGAAAGGTATAAACGGTATTGTTACCAGCAACAGGGGCTCAAAAACTTTACGACAATGATCCATCAACAAAGTGAGATCACGCGGAGATGAAAAGAGAAGGAACTGTGAATTAACGGTGAACAACCTTAGAAGTAGGTCTCGTCTGCTTACTGGGTCGATTTAGTAAAACTAACACTGAATCCCTCGTGAACGCTGTCATCAACTGTGTGGTTACATCCTTTTATCGTATTAAAACAAAGACCGAAACAAAAGATCAAAGCAAAATGTTAATATGCACCCGAAGTCCAGAGTCCGATGAAGTTAGAAAATAATACCAATTATCATAATTAGCTACTTAGGTCTTAGAGGCTTGGAAGTGAAATTGCTAAAATCGACTAAAGGAAGAAGTACTGAAGAGCCGACGTGATTCATTAATTTGTCAGTATAATTTTTAAACTGTAGGCCGTGAAATTAAACAAAACTGGATATGTGCAATGTGGGGGGGGGGGGGGGGGGGGCAATGGCATAAAATACCCTGGGAAAAACGCTTGGGTAATTCTCCATTATTAGTAAGCTGCCACATAATTACGTATGTGGCAGCTTACTTGGACACTCTAACATGTTTATTTTCGCATACCAGGCTACTCAAAGTTCATACCAAGCTACTAGAGGCTCATACCAGGCTACTAGAGATTCATACCAGGCTACTAGATGCCAAGATCAATTCGACTCTTTTGCAATTCAAATTCCTGTTACCCGAGGGTGATGTGGGGACTTCGAAATCGGAAATATTTTTACAGGATTATTTTCAGCTTGGAAAGACAAAACGTTTAGTTAAGTTTTTAAATGGCATAAAATGGCATAAAATGGCATAAAATGGAGACTTTTTATATGGAGAAAATGGAAAAACCCTTGGGTAATTCTCCATTAATCATTCATGCCATTTTATGCCATTGGCCCTCCCCCCCCCCTCTCCCCCGCCCAATGTGCACACTGCACAAGTTTGCAATTAAAACAACTGAAAATAAATTAAACAATTACGTAGCCTCACGAGATGTGGTTACATCTGTCTACAGAACATCACGTGACATGACATATTTCACACGTGACACTGAGCTTTATGTACCTAAGATAGTTAAGTTTTGGCACTGCATTCACACTTATCTCGTTCTGGAGACATTCCAGAAAGAAACCAGGAACAGGAACTCAAACCAGGCAATATTAGGCAGAGAGGCTACCACAGTTTTATATTTTAGCGATGGAAAGAGACAAATAACTTTGAAGCATGAACTAGCAAACAGCGATTAAATATATCCTACAATAGTAGTAAAATATGTCTCAAAACTTTTCACTACAACACTATATCAGATATATAATACTACTCCAGGTATGTTTTGAACTATTTCTATGATTGTTTATCAGCCGCATTAGAAATTTTCTGACGCTTAATATCTCTTTTCAGCTCATTAGTTCAATAAAAAAAACGTGAGATGATCGACAGTTTCGTCAGAATTTAGACTTTTACACTTTCAACACTACGTATATTAATTAAATACCTAAATGTGTTTATCTATTCATTGTAATGAAGTTCTAGGTTTTTAAAATAAACTGAAAAGAACATTCTATTTAAACTAAAGACTATTTATGGACATTGGACCCCTGGCCCTCGATCTCATTCTTCTTTAAGTAACTTACACAACTTTTACAAATTACATAATAACTTACATAGCTTACTGTTACATAACTTACATAATTCTCCAGCTTGTAGAGTCTAAACATAAGCTCCTGACACTGGTTACACTCCACACACTCCGTTATAACCGTCCCAGTTTCGGACCACCACTCCAAGGAACTACAGCTCATCTCAACTAATTAACTAATTAACTAATTGAACAATTTACTAATTATACTGATCACCAACAAACAGAAATCCAAACAACAGCACTTATGCGGTGTATACTTGTATAGACAACATTAAATAAAGATGAAATGGGTACTAAAATGTAAGAAAATATAGATGGCAAAATACAGCACGGGCCTAACAGTTAAATATTCATGCAATACAATTCATTGTAGAATCCCATGAGGACGTGTATTTTATGTGTGATTAGTAATGACATCATCACGTGACTAGAGTTACCACGTGCAGTTTATTATTGCCCTAGTGACCACGTGATATTTATTCCTGACAGGTAAAGTCATCAGAGTTGAATCCCCTTGTGTAGTGAACTTGAGGATGGATACTTTCAGACTTTTAACAACTCAATAGTCAATATTTGAAAAAAAATCAAAACAAGCACAGACTAGCACGCCCAGCGTCTATCACAGTCCAGTTACTCAGCTTTTAATCTCATTCTTTTGACCCTAAGCGCAATGATTAGACTATAACAGGGTGTTTTACCACAAAACAGAACACTAAACCGTAAAAAAACCATCTTTTTTGATAAATTATTTACTTTTTAATTTTTTTAAAACCCACCTTGACTTGCTCAAATGGAGGTCTGATCTCCAAAGTGCCCTCCTCCAGTGGGCCCTTGTATGAGTTACTCTTCCCCTTTTTAACGGGGGTAACATCTTCCTGACTACTGTTGTAACTGTAGTAACCACTACCTCTGCTCGTACTGCTGCTGCTGTCTTTACTGCTTTGGCTTCCGAAGTTTACGTTGCGGGAACGCAGAGCTGAAAATGATTTTATTTACGTGTACATTCTAGGAATGGAGTTAGAGAGAGAGAGTTTTTCAAAAATGAGCGGGCAATGTCCTGAATGTTAGTTTTAAAATTTTTGTTTAGAATGTTCAACATATCCTTGGTATATTCTGTCATAATATTAAAAATAAATCTGAAACACTGAGGATACACGGTCAACTAAAACTGTAAAAGTAATCCCGAGATATATAATCAGATAATTTACAACAGTTTTCAGGTTAACATACAAGAAGATGAAGATCTGAGGTTATCCAGTCTAACAAAGCGAGCGGGGGAAGATTTGGCATTAGGGATATCTGACACCGACATCGATCTTCTCATCTTCTAAAATTAACGATTTTATTATTTAATTGTAGAGCATAATCAATAATGGTGAGTTAGTTATAATATTGGATAAAACTCTTCGAAAACAAAAACAAAGTGCGGTTAAAGACACTTGTATACTAAACTAAGCATTACAAAGCTAACCTTTAGAGGCTGAACGGGCGAAAGCGCTTTGGTTCGTTCATTCCTTGGCACCTGAAACGAGTCATGTCTCAAACACTCGACAATTCGAACTGACGGCAACAGCTAGCGTAGTTTCCGGATCGAAACATTATATTATTGATTAGCATCATTTCATGTGATTATTGTCCACCATTTCTGATTATCAGATCACGGGTGTGCTATGAGGAAAGCAAACTTTTCTTCTGACGGTCAAACGCTAGACTTACAAATGAGCTAATCCCGGGTGAGTTTATTACCGGACTTACTTATTTTCGGAAAATCAAACCTAGTAAGTAGTACCTAGTAGGTACTAGTAGGTAGTTAGCTACCTAGTAGGTACTACTACTATACCGGGGTATTCCACCCTTTTAAAAGTCTGTTTATATGCTGGGGGTGCAATATTACTGTACCAAATAAACTTTACACAAACTGCGAATTGAAAGTTGGTCTTAGGATTGAAATTTCACAAGAGATTTTTATAATAACACGAAAACTGTGAGAGCTATACCATTGAAATGTTTTTGACAATGTCGAAAGCTTTTATCTTTTTATTGCCTTTTGGACAGTCTGAAGAAATTAAAAATTGGCTAAGGAATAAGAACTTTAGGTAAAATTTAGACCCCCAAGTGGTGTAACTATGCGATCATTCACAGGTACTTCTTTTCTTTTCAGAAATTCAATCTCTAAATTATGTACTTAACGGAAGTCTGGCTAATTTATTCAAACAACAAATTACCCCAATTAATTAGAAAACAATCAAAACCATAACTTCGTCCACCTGTAAATTAGAACCCAAGTCAGGAAGTGACTGAAAGTTAGTTGTCCTGAACGTACTGTACAGTAGCCACATGATATGCAACAGCTGCTACACTACCGTGTTATTATTATTGCAAAACTAAATTAATTGGTCCTATGTTATGATAAATAACAGTCATTACGTCCGAATATTTCCAATATTTATGTTACATTATATCTATGCCAAATGTTACAATAATTCGGAAGTTTACAAAATAAGATTATTTTTTAAGTATTAGATTAATTACAGGAAACATAAAACAAAATAACACAGTGCGTCGAGAAATGTCTGAGGGAACCGATACATTTGTTTAAAAATATTAAGAGGGATAATTTGAGTGATGACTGATGAAGAACGCATGCGTGCGTGCCTTTTACAGTCCTGTTTGCACGTGCAAATATTTATATTCCATACTCATCCGTCATGCCTTTAATTCCATTGCAATGTTACCACGTGAATTTGTTCTATAAATAGGAAATACTTTTCTACTCTCTATTGTTAGTTGTTGGTAATGGTTGGAAGTATTTAGGAATAGTAATATCTAATATTTAAAGTTTACAATTACTGATGAATCTGTCAGTTTATCGATATTGTAAATTAGTAAGCAGTATGGAATGCCACAAAAGAATTTTAAAGTTATGTTAGGTAGATGATATCAGATTATTTGGATATACCATCTTTTCCAGTGTCATGATGCGAAACGTTTTGTAAATTTATAGTATATTATTATGTTTACACTACAATTGCAATGTAGATTGTAGATTTATAAGCAATATATAAACCACGAGGTAAAGCATTGTCCTAACAATCTTTCAGTAATAAATAATCTATCAATAATTAGTAAAATAAGTAAAATTAGTAAAACTAGTAATTAGTAATAAGTAATTAGTAATCACTAATCAGTACGATAACCCATCTGTAATCTGGCTCCTAGTTCCCACCTGTTTAGCAGTAGAAGTGGTAGTCAGATCACAGCTAATAAAACTCTCCACACTCCCCAGTACAGATTCAGCGAGACAGTCTGCGTCTCGTTTCAATGAGGTGTTCTGTTTGTCTCGAACATCCGGGGAGAAGTCCAACCATTCCGAATCCTCCGTCATGTCGCCCTCCTGAATAAGGTATAATAATGAGAGTGGTCGTTTGAGGGCTTGAGATACAATGATCCTGATCAGTGATGATAATAGCAAAATGACGTAGAAGCAATCGTTCATTGCTATAATATTCCAGATACAAATTTCCAAGTCAATGCAATGATTGAACTCCTTTGAAATTCGCCAAAATGCCTCGCGACCAATACAATAAAACACAAGCCCAGGGGCGTGCGCAAGGGGGAGGCGATGCAGGCCTAGAACACAGTACTACCTCTTTAGAAGGTGAAGGCATGACATCATTAACCAAATCCTCCAAACTATCATCAGTCTCCATTGACTCCTCTGCTTCCCTCTCAGGTTCTATATTCATCTTGGTAATAGGGTCAGCTGGTGTGTCTGGTAGTACTTCGTCACATAAATCCTCAAAACTACTTCCTGAGTCCTCGGTGTTTTGCTGTGGAGAAGTTAATTTAGCCATGGTTTATAACTAGGCGAATAATATGGGGTTATCAACTCAAAACCTACATTTATTATTCATTTAAAAGTTCGGATTATGAAGAAAGCAAAGGTAGAGGCTGAGGTTTAATTATTCGAGATAAATATCTTAGGGGTATTTAATATCTTACCATGATAAACGTTAAGTCAACCAAATATTTTCAACAGTAAACAAGAATATAATCAGACTAAATAACGAAAGGCTTTCCATGCTACGAATCTCACCTTACACAATACACACTTTGTCCCACTCAAATCACCAACACACTCGCTGCAAAACACACACAATCACAAATATCTCATTAATTGGTCGAACAATCGAGAATTTAGAATTACTCCAGGGTTAGGATGCGGTGTAACTCAGACTTACGCTTTCTTCGTGTTCTGACTCCTCCTTTATAATATCGCTCTTCATAGCATCTAGATCATGTTGGATCTGGGCCATGTTGTTATTGATGAACATGCTGTCGTCCACAGTGGTGTTGCTTCTCCCTGGGGTAGCTTCTTTTGGTTTAATCTCACTCTTATTTTGAGGTGATTCGGTGACTTTTTCGTGGACCACTTCTTGAGGTTTAGCAACAGTTTCCACAGGTTTGGGAAGACATGACTCATCTTCTGAATCAGACTCATCTTCTGAACAGTTACTCTGCAGCTTCGCAAGGGCCCTGCTTACTACGCTGTCTGAAATTTGGGATGATGTTTATACGGGTGTAAGGCTGTCAGAATGATGCGGCTGTCAGAATGATGCGGCTGTCAGAATGATGCGGCTGTCAGAATGAAGTTTTTATCAAAGATCAAATTACTTTGTTAGAAACTTGATTTTGGGCATATTAAACAGGTTTGCATATACTGAAAACACAAATAAACACTTCCATCACTGAAAGAAAGGCTAAAAATGATTTATTACTGAAATATTTGGAAATACACTTTCAAATTTTGGCATTGCATAAATATGAGGCAGTTTTGTGATCTTGTTGTTAAAGTTATCCCTATAAGACCTGGTACTGGTGTCTCAAACAACTCTAAAAGAATGCATTCATACCCTAAAAACCCTCAATAAACATGTGTTAACAAATTAAAACAAAAAATTCAAACGGCTGTCAGAATGATGGTATGGCGGCTGTCAGAATGATGATATTCTGCAATCAAAACAAGTTGATCAAAAACATCAGAAACAACCGATACATAAAAGAATGTGTTTATTTGTGTTTTTAGTATATATGCAAACCTAGTGAAACCTGTTTAATATGCCCAAAATCAAGTTTCTAACAAAGTAATTTGATCATTGATAAAAACTTCATTCTGACAGCCGCATCATTCTGACAGCCGTATACCCGTAGATAGTCAGTATATTTATAACACATTGCACAACTTTTCAAACAGTAAAACATCCAAACAAAGCTGGGAAGAATTGCAACTACACTAAGTGAACACTAACAGAACAATCCATGGTTACAAGCTCTCTATCATAACTGCTTGAAGTTGACAATAACATGCAATAATTGGGGGCCTAGTGCAGTAATTGGGGGCCAGCATTGGAAAGTTGTAGTGTGTAAAAGGTCATACTTGTCAATTAGTACTGAGTGGAGTTGGGTTAGAAACATATAAGAGATACGATGATTTAATTTAATTTCAATTAGTTCATACACACAGCTAACATAGCCCCTAGAAATACCTCACAGCCCAATATATAAAATTTAAAAGTGTACTATTCAATACGGCTGTCAGAATGAAGGTTTTCTAAATTGCGATTATTGACTTATACCAAAATGCCAGGAATGTTTGATTTGGGTAGAATAACGCTGCAGATATGTGTTAATAATGATAGAGCGAGGGTATAAAAAGATTCCTAGAGCCATGATGGAAAAATGGGGACAACTTTGTTTTGGAAAACGTCATTCTGACAGCCGCAGTCTTCCTTCTATGTTGTATAATTCCCCAAGAATAGTGATTTAGTTGACAACAGAGGTGATATGGTATTGATGTATAATATATCTAACTGCCTGCAAGTCTAATAAACCAAAAAGTTTTTTTTAATAATTTAGGCCTCAAAATACAAAACTTCATTCTGACAGCCGTAGTCTAAAAAGGGGTAAATTTCATGCCGATTTTTCCCCCTTTTACTGGCAAATTTTAATAATTCCAAACCCCGGGAAGAAAACTTTCCCTAGTTTTTAGGTGTTTTGTGAAGTTTCTGGTTTAAAACAGCTGTTTTTAAAGATTTTGTGGCTTTTATAAAAACACCATCATTCTGACAGCCTTACACCCGTACGAATAAACTACCGGAAATTTGGGATCAATTTAGCAAGCCTCAAACTCCTTATAAATTCGTACACACAATGATTATATAACTTTTACACCCCTATCAAGATTCTAAAAAAAGTGCGATGAGATTGGATTTTGAGACTAAAAGTGCGATTTTCACGTGTCACGTGCAGTGGCGAAATGTACTCCCCACCAACCCCCCCCCCCCCCCCCCCCCCCCTGCAAGATTTCTTGCCCCACAAATTATTTTCTATTTAAAAAGATTTCGCGAGTCCCTTTGTAAGCGAAATTGTAAGTAAGTTGCTTTATGTCGCTCGATGTTTATTTCTCAGAATTGTAAGTATGTCCCTGTTATTGGATCCGTTACATATTGTAAATGTGATAAGCCTCTCGTAGCACGATGGTTTAGGGCGCGGTCGTTATGCAGTTGACTCCGGTTCGAGTCTCGCCAACGGTCATTCATTTGGCAATTATTAATTATTTTACTAAAATTATCATCAGAGCACCTTGTAATATACGTTATCCGATAGATTATACTGTTCGTACTTCAGCTAGAGAAGACTGGCATTTAAGGATTTGTCCGGGGAAGGCCTTGTTCACACTGGAACATGTCAAATTATGGTAAACGGAGTTATCTGGTAATGTTTGTTTTATTTAGGGCTAGAATTTAGAATGGAATCAATGTGATGAGGATCCAGAGTTAATTACCTGCTAGGATTAATAAGTCAGTTCTCCAGTTGAAGAGACCCTTTCTCAAACTTTTAATGAAGAAATATTCACTATGCCTATGGCAGTATCAAGTATATTCTGAGAAAGATGGAGTCGACTGTAGCCAGGAATAGTACCTTGAGATTTCGACCGTTACCGGACCTCCTTTAATGGTAACCATGGTAACTATAGTAACCGCTGTGAATCTTGATCTTATAAACCGATTAGTATAGACAACAACTAGTATCCTTTAAGACTTAGACAGTACAGAAAAGTAAGCCGTCAGAGTAACACAAGTCACAACCAGTAATAATTCAAAACAATCGATACCAAAAGTTCATTGACCATGAAAAGTCGGCTTGATGATAAAGACGAAAAGGCCAGCAAGATGAGGAATAGTATTATGGGGCCGTTGTATGGTAAATAAACTAAGAATAAACACGCTGAATAGCGATGAAAATGCAAGCGCGCGACCGAATATGTAGTGCTGAAAGAGGGTGCCGAAATCTCGCGGAAAATCTCACGATATCGTGAGCCTAGCTATGAGATTTAAAAGAAACTTGCAAAAATCTGGCAAAAATCTCGCGCGCGTTACGTCGAAGTTTTCACGCTATAAACAAGTGATAAAATACACGTTAAGAGTATAAAATACATGTTAAGTTCCTAATTCCCTCAACTTTTAAGTTAAACCTTTTCTGTTTCCTCATTTATTTACAAATTTTGTGCGATGAGTCTGGCTCGCAATCTCGCATAAATCTTGACCTGGGCTTTTACAGATATGGATCAAATTGGTAGTACGGCAAAGTTCGAAAATCTCCTAATTTTCTAATGTGCACAAGGAAAACTAAGAAAATAAATTCATAAAATAGAATTACAACCAAACTTACTGGGTTTGACACGGATTGAGGGCATGGTTCTGAGACCCCCTCCAGGGGAGGAAGCTCCTTTATTGGGGGAGTTGCTGGTTGAAGGGGAACCACGTGATCTAAAAGATGACGTAATCTTGACTGGCGAATGTTTCCTTGCTGGTGACCTGTTCATGGAGTCCACCCGTTTCAAAGGTGAATTTGATCCTTTAGTTGACTCGACTCTCTTCACTGGTGATCCTAAGTTGTTCACAGGTGTTGGGGTGGGGTGAGATTCCTGTCTTTTAGGTGAAGCAGTCCTGCAAGTGGAATCTATTCTCTTGACAGGAGATGAAATATTCTTTGTAGGAGATATAACTTGAGGAGCTGGTTTAGGTTCATTAGATAGTTCATCGGATTTTGTTTGACTTGAGTATTTAAAATCTTTTTTCCCCAAACGGCTTGTTGTCCTTTTCGGAGCCATTGGCTCAACAGTATCGTCAGATTTTAAATCTGGGAAAAACTTCTTAGTAGGGGACATAACATTACTCTGCCTGCTTGGTGAGAGGGGGTTCCTTTTGTTTTCTGTGCTAGGGTTATCGAAGAAAGTCCTTTTGGTCCCGGTTGTCATTGTTTTGGGCGACAAAAGATTTTCTTTTAAGTCTGGAGAATTTTGTTTGAATCTATTCCTCATTCTTTCTTGCAGACATTCGAAGTCATCCTCAATCTCTTCGAGTGGTACAGCTTTCACCTGTTGAAATAAAGCATGTAACACAAGATTGAACACTTCTTCATTTAATTTTAATTGCAAAACAGAGAGACGTTGTTTTGCAAAACGGTAGTAATAATGAACAAAAACCTCAAAAACAGGAATACAAGCCCAGAAAAGCGTTCAATATTGAACAGCATTCTGATCATCGAGCAAAAGCAGGTATTATATATACTGATGATCTGATCTACCCTGAACACACAGAAAATAGGGGAGTAGACAGTAAAGAAATGGTGATCTTACCTCACGTTTTGGAGTAACTCTGGCACCCTTAACTCCACCAGCCACACCTTTACTAACTCCCATACCAATTCCAGCAGTTGTATTGTAGGTTTTACGGGCAGGGGTTGGGGATCTAATTCCGCTTGCAATACTTTGAGTACCTGATGATACTTTGGAGGTGTATATCAGATATAAATGATAACATGAAAAGTTTACCAAATTTGAAAACCAAATGGATTAGTTTTATACAAATAAGATGCTTTAACTAAACATTGGCTAACTTTAACTCACACATTTTTTCTGAGCCAGTTTTCTCCCGTTGAAGTAGCAAATTTTCTGGATTCCTGGCCCTCCTCTCCCTAGCTTTCCTTAGAAGCATCTCTGTGCTGTCTTGTGTGTCAGTCATCCTATTGGAAACATTTTAACTGGTATACGGTAAATTTTATCATTATATATAAAGCATGCAATTGCATTGTAGCTTATAACTATAATTTAATTGTATCTCAGAATGTTTTTTACAGGTCACTCTTATCACTATTATCATCCAGGGTTCGAATCCCAGTGTCACCAAGTCTAGGGAGTAATTAAGGACCCATTGGATCCATGCAATCTCCTTGGTCGAGTAAACCAAATGATAAGAAACTTGATGAGGGGTACCTGCTAGAAGATCAAGAATCTTATTAGGATACCCCTTCAGTAAGTCTAAATTGTAGTGTACTGTAAATATAGGAATATTACTATTAACTACTAAAGTAAAGTAATGTAAAATAAATTAAAGTAAAATTTATGATATCACATCATCGCATGTCAACAAAATATCATCGCACAATTTGAAAAAATATATAATGAATATTTCCCCACCAACATTAATTATTTATCAAATACAATATTTTTTTAAATGTATCAAAACATTATCCAATTTTAAAAACCTAATCAAACTTCCCGGTGGAATAAAGATTTATAAAACGCTTCTTTGCCACATAAGGATGAAACCAAAGCTAAAGATAATCGTTATGTTTCTCTTTATTACATAACTAGCTCCCTCAATTATTACTAAAACTTCATTAGAAACATTTTAAAAAAAGCAATTATTTGTAATACTTCTAGAAATCATATCTTTCTTAAATCCTTCTATACTAATTTAGTTTTAAAGCCTAAAACTGCCACAGAGTTCTTGACGCCTGGAGGGAGTTTATTCCAATATGGAATAACTCGCTTGACAGAAGAGAAGACTTCCGGACATTCTTGATTTCAGTTAAACTTCTACAGGATCTGCTAATTCTACACATCCCCGATCCATAACAGTGGCGTAACATTGCCTGTTGGCGCCCCTGCCGAAAATGCGCCCCCCTGTTGGCGCCCTCTCCCCTTTTGACGCCCCTCCCTGAACTAATTAGGTGATTTTATTGGATACGCAGGTAAAATCTCTAAAAAAGTGTGATTCTAGAGCAAAACGTGCAGTTTTGCTAGTACCTTAGTTAAGTTTCTCAAAATTTTCCCACATTTAAACGACGATTTTGTGCAGCGGGGTCAGCGGGGCCCTTTGTTACGCCACTGATCCATAATCAGTCAAACCACTTGTTACTTTAAAAGCCTCTATGAGGTCCCCACTAACTATCAGGATGACAAGCTGACTGAAGGGTGTGAAATTCCCAGTATGGCTACAGTTTATGTCTTGTTTCATTTAAAAAAAAGAAAAAGGGGGGACCCCTAACCCATGTAGCTGAGCCACCTCACAGCAAGTAGACCAAAGTGGCTCTTGCTTGTGAACGGTGCATCAACTACCCGCCGAAGCAATTTTTGACTTGGCTCTTGGCTTGTTATTTGTGGTCAGCTATCATTTCAGAGACACGATCTACAAACACAGTGCAGAGCGGTCCCATACCTCCGGAGGTTGTGAAGACTAGAGCTAGAGAGGGACAAAGGATCCTTTCTCTGACTGAAGTACTCTCTCTTCATACAAATCTTTCTTTTTTTTCTCATGATCTCTATAGATCTTATGTAGTGGCTTAAATATATTTGTGTCACAGTTAGGATGTGTGACCCTGATGTCAAAGAATGTTCTTTCAAAGGGTGCATACAATCCGACAGCTGCAACATCAAGACGGGCTTCATCCTGGGTGCAATTCTTCCTTGAGAATGAGCTTGGTTGGACTGTCAGGAGTGCTAGTTCTATCCTTACGTCTTTACACTTTGCTTGAACTCGGAGGAAGAATGGCATTGTGGCGCATGGAAACGTATCCACCTAGTTTACAATCAAGGGCGTGGTAGAAACTGTTTACATTTCCGTAGGCACATTTAGAAGGCACTCCTTGGATCTTCCAACCATACCATAGGCGTATGCTGTCTTGGAACTTCTGCTTGTTCAGAACATAGTTGAGGTTTTATTTGATATATATATATGACCATGAATGAAGTGGGAACCCAAAAGGCTGCTTATGAATGGAAATTGAAAGTGCACTTGCACTGGCAGATGTAACCATGCAAAATATATATATTTTGGTGCTGTGTGGTTCCCCTTGAAATAATACAGTACAGGGGCACTAATCTTCGACGTTTAAATCATATCATCAATAAAGCACAGTTAAAAGATGAAAATAAATTCAAGCAATATACAAAAAATGTCTTGCAGAGATAAAAGCATGGATGGTGAACAACTACATGAAACTGAACGAAACAAAGACAGAACTACTGGTGTTAGGAAAGAGCCATGTTCTAAAAAAGTGTGAACTCAGTGTCAGACTGCAATTTGGAAGCACTGAAATTCTGCCTACGGAGTGTAAAGGAGATAGCTGGAAGAGTCTGGGTGTCAAATTTGATGAATCTCTAAATATGGAAAGACAGATCAATAATGTCAAAAGGAAATGCAGCTGGACAATGATGAACCTAAGAACCATTGGTCGTTACCTGGATGAAGGCATTAAATTGATGCTAGTGAAACAACTGGTCATATCAAAAAAAAAAAAAAAAAAAAAAGGAAGCAACTCACGGTATCACTCTCATAAGAGAACCAAATATACACAATAAGGTTTGGTACTTTATCTGTACCTCCCCTTTCATAGAAATAATACCAAAAATATACACCTATCTTTAAGAAATCAACATCTGATATAAAACATTCGATCAACCAAAATTAAGACAATTTTCCTGTTAATAATTTAACGGCACTCATAAGAGGTCATACTAGGTATAAGTCCAAATGCTGTGTCAGCAACCGTTTTTGTTACTTTCTTTTCTTCTTGACTCCTCACACCATGAACTGATACCACTAAGCTTTTAAGCATAGCAAAGCATATCTTGGTCCTGATGTAGTTGATAACATCTGTGTAGCTCTCCTTTCTCTTTTTTGATATCAATCTAGCAAGACGTTTGTGAAATCTGTCACATTCTGGTGCTGTAGTCCCTGCTGTAGAAAATACTAGAGGAATGAAAGACGCTCTTTCAGTGTTGATGACTCGTGAGTTATACTTAGTTTTTTTTTCTTCCTCATTTCTCTTGTACAACTTGTCCAGGGGAACATTAAGGTTTGATGGTGCATTTGGGTGTGTTATTCTTACATCCATGAAAGTCCTGGCATTCCTGCCATATAATCCAGTTGCAACAATATCTAGCCTTGCTCCGCTGTCAGTAGTAGTTCCTTTGGGATGAAGTTCTGGAGACGTTGGTACCCAGTGACATAAAGTGAGGAATCTAAGAATCTAATTCCTAGCCATATTAATTTCCATAGCCACGCCGACTAATTTTTGTCAACAAAATTATTAAATCAACTTTAAAATAGTCGCTCTCGGTTGTTACACACTGTAACGCCGCGCACTGTACTTTAATTCTATATTTATCTGAGATGTTCGAATCGAGCGCAAATGCCAGATTCCTGTCAGGATCCTAGTTCTTGCGCTTAACTTGCGCGTTACCAAATAATCCAAGATATTTCTGTCAGGATCCAAGATTTTCCTACTACCAGTATGGTAGTATGGACTGTTTGGTAGTATGGTAGTATGGTAGTTGCAGGAACGCGCGAAGACCTATATGTAAATATTACTAAAGCGTACATGGAATCGTATCCTAGTCGGTTAATCCGTCGGTACTATATTAGCAGATCGCGAGTTCGAGACCCGGAAAGGAATTTTTTCACAATCTTTTGGCAATTATGAATAACTATACTAATGAATTAATAACTATACTAATGAATAACTAAACCTCTGTAATATAACTAGCAAAGTAAAATGAAATCGTTATCCGGCCGCGGAGCGGCCGAAAAATTTATGGTAGTCGTTTTAAAAATATATGGTAGCCGTTTTTTCTTTCCAGACTGGATTCCTAGTCCCTTTTTAAATTTATGTCACTGGGCGTTGGTAAGAGAGCTGGCTCAGTATAAACGTTTCTACATTTAGCCTCACGTAGTAGATCTGCTTCGGTTTCTACAAGCACTGTATGTCTAAAGGAAACATACCCTCCTTTTTTACAAGATAGGGCATGATCGACGGAGTTTCTTTCTCCACACGCACAGTGTTTAGCAATATCTTGTATAGGCCAGCCATATCGCAAACATATACCATCTCTAAAGTCCTTCTTGTTCAAGCAGTAACCATAAGACTGCATTGGGAGGGCTGACAGCCAAGATGAACTGCCTTTTTGTGTAGCCAGTGAGAACGATCTTTTCTTTGCTGGAGAACTTATTGCGTTTTCTATTCTGAGTCTCTCTGCTGCAAAATCTTTTTCTTTTTCAGTTTTCAGTGCTGCTTTGGTGTTTGCAATAGCTGTGAGGTCAAGTTTGCCTAGATCATATCTAACTGGTCATATCTAAATTAGACTACTGTAATTCTCTTTACATGAATCTACCCAAGACCAGATTGAACAAACTTAGATCAACCCTTAATGGGGCAGTTCGTTTCATCTATAACATAGAAGAGAGGACCACAGACTTGGTTCCCTTCTATAAGAAGGCCCACATACTCCCTATAGACCAACGAATCTTCTTCAAAGTTTGTCTTTTAACCCACAAATCAGTTCACGGTACTACACCTGATTACCTCAAAGCACTACTGGATGTGGATGTAGTGGATATGATATAGAGCTTTCAAACACCATGACCAGGTCGAAGAGACCTGGTGACCATCTCATGCTCAAAGTACCAAAGAATAAAAGGTCCAAAGTTGATGACAGACGTTTCTCAAGCCATGCACCAATTGCATGGAACTCTCTTCCCCTGATGTTGAGATGTACTACTGATACCAACTGTTTCAAGCGAATGTTAAAGAATCATTTATATAATCAGTTCTGATGTTTTTCTTTCCATTGTCTTTACTTTGCAAGACACATTGGCTTTTATTTTTACCGCACTCCATTTTATGTCTTGATCTCTTAATTTCTAGGATCTGTTTCTTTCTTGATTGGTTATGTCACTGTACTTACCTTTATTAT